ACATAGATGAATTTCTTGGGGAAAATGTGTTATTAATTGGAACTTAATGAGTTCGTCGATAACTGCTAATAACGATGACGATGACGATGATAACGATAATGATTCAATGACGTCGCGTATATATGTATATCAATCGGAAAATCAATATTATGTGACTAGATATTGTATGCATACGCGTATACACATAACACATCGCGTTCAACATTGTACTTTCGTTATTGTTTTCTTAATATTATATGATTTTTATATTGCGATTAAGATTCAATTGATAATGTATCGATGAAGAACAAGAAAAAAGAAATTAATTTTCTATTATACAAAGTTCATTCAAAATGTATATATATATATATTTGATGGTTTATATTTATCTTGTTTAAAATTTATTTTCTAAACGCGATTAGAATAAAATTATTAGATATTAATGATATTTAATATTACTTTTGTAGCTGTTGAATTATTTAATTTCTTTTTTTTTTCTTTTCTAATTTTTTTTCAATTTTTTTAATTATTTTGCGAAACGTATAATCGTTTGATGACTTTTTTTTTTAGTACAACGAACAAATCTCATTGCATGACGAATCGACAAAAGTGTACAACAGAGACAATCGCAACGCTATTAAAGTAGATAAGTATATACATGTATAGATAGATAGGATAGATAGATAGATACACGTACACATGCGTGTATGTATATCAGTGATTCGTATAGTTTCGTAGATTCGCATTTGCGCGATCGACAGAAATAGCTTGTCGCGTTTCTAACCGAGCAAGTAACCTCCTTCTCCTCCTCCACCTCCTACTCCTACTCCTCCTCCTTCTTCACCCCACCCACTTGCCCCCCCCTCACCACCAAATATAACTGGACGTTCTCGGATTTGTGCTCACGAAAACAGAACTGTTATCGTATTCATAATGTTCAACGTAGTTTCTATTCCTAATTTCTATTCGACGCTTTCCAACTTAACGAATACGGCAAATAAAAAAAGAAAAAAGAGAAAAAAAGAAAACTACAAAATATTAAACGATTTTCATAATCTATTATAAGACACGTAATAGGACATTTAATATATCCTTGGAGTATCACGTTTTTATGTCATGGCGTCTCGTACACCGGTGACGACGGGCACGTGGAAAGTTTCGCTCGTGTGTTCCTCATTGATTTTCGACGAAGAAACCATCCCACGCATAAAGTGTCTACGAAATTTTGTTTACTTAGAAAACTATCCGTAGATTGGGGGGAAAAATATCGTTAAACCTTATTATCATAAGCTAATTCTTAAGAAAAAATATTCATTCCTTTATTTTTGCTTTTTTTTTCTTCTTCTCTACGTTATATTTATATCTAAATTATTTTCAATTGACTTTTTAGAAATTCACCATTTCTCTTGTTTTTTTTTGTTTGTTCCAATCCACATATATCTGATCTACGAAATCATTCCCAGTATTTTTTTTTTTTTTTTTTTAGCTGATCAATTAATTAATCCATTGATTTATTTTGCCCTATAGGAATATTCTGCTCATCGAATATAAGTTTATGAATATTTACGAGATGTAAAAACGAAATTGTCCAAACAATAAAGGAGAAAGAGAGAGAGAGAGGGATGAAATCGAATGGAACAAAAAAAAAAGTGTAAAGGGTAGACTTAGAAAATATTAGTCAAATATTCTTCTTTCTACAGGTATCTCTCAGCAGGATTCTCGCTAGAAAGGCCAAGCATAAGAAGAAGAAGAAGAAGAAGAAGAAAAAGGCCGCGGAGAAATCTTAGGAACAAGAAATATAAGATAAATAAAGAAAACATTAAAGAAATTAATCCTCTTTCCGATGTCTATTCATTTTGATTTGCAAATCATTCAACTTATAATATAATACCCTGATATCTTTTGTTAGTATCTTTTTTTATTTATTTTTTATATTTTATATATAACAGTGCTATAAAAAAAATTGTTACAATGAACAACCGCATTCCTAAGAATTGTGAAACTACGAATCCTAAGAAAATTATTTTCACGAGGGTATTCTAATCCTTTAAAAGCATTTATTATCCGTATCAAAAAATGTTCACAAAATAACTAATATATCTACTTTAGAAACTAATATTGTAAAGAATCTTTTACCGATCATATCGACAAAGTTTTATCCAAATATGTTGTTTAAAGACGAAAATCTTTGACTTTTTTTGTAAATAGAAAAAATTAAGAAACTTGGAAACTTTTCTTCCACCATCTACGTTGTTTCGTTCGTTTACTATTTTTCGTTTAAAAATACAAATACAAAGAAAGATGATATAAAAAAAAAAAAAAAAAACGAAAAAATTATAAAAATAATATTAGAAGAACATATTTTTTTTTTTTTTCAGTACAAATCAATAGGATCTCGACGAATAATGTTGATCTTACGATCGTATTAACCTTCTTACTGGCTTCTCTCACTATAAAAGCAAGCAGTGGTTTCCTTTCGCCTCGTTGCAATTACTTTCGAATATAAAGGACGATTTCTCTCTTCGTCCGTCTTTCTTTGACTTTATTGCAACGCGTTTCTCTCTCTCTCTCTCTCTCTCTCTCTCTTTGTTCCAGTTTCTTAGAAAAAGAAAACCAACGTGTCTCGGCTCCCCAATAAAATAACAAATTCCCAAATTTATGATTGTTATGCGTACCTATTCCTTTTATTTGCTATATTAAGGGGTTACATGGGTTTGGGACTTTCAAAAAAATTTTTTTTTTATCTTTTTAAATTCTACAACTCATCTAGAATATTGTGTTGAATTTTGAAGTCGATAGGAGTAGTAGTTTTAAAGATAGAGCATTGGGAAGTTTCACTCTTTAGTGGCTCTTATACCAGCACTCAAATCTTTAAACGCGTTTTTCTCAAAACGCGTTTTTCTAAAGTCGGTTGTCAAGATTTCTCGAAAACTATTTAACCGATTATGATGAAATTTGCTACACGTCTTCGTGATACTATTGACAAGGACTTCGACGAAGGATTTTCGTATTTTTCATAAAATCGAATTTTAAGAAACCAAAATGTGGTGSAAATTGTAGCGAAATTTGAATGTTCTTGCTAAAAACGTTGCCAAAAATCCAAATTTCAATTTTTTTTCTTTTTCCTTCGTCCAGTTTCTAGTTTTAAGTATTCACTAAAAGACCATGTTTTTTCAACAGAAAAACCCTCAGCGTTTATAAGTTCTGCTGTCAACGCGAAAACACTTTTTTTCGGTGGGGTTATTGGAAATGAAGTCGCAATGGCTGAGTTTAAAATATTTTTCAACCAAAATTTCAGAAAATGTTCTTTAAATATGTATCTTAAATGCTATCAAAAGTTTGAATAAAAATTCCATTTTTTATATAGAAATAAAAAAAATTGTTGAAAATATGCTATGTTTTCCCGGTGTAAACCCATGTAACCCCTTAAACCATTTAATCTGTTAATGAAATCGCGTGATTAGAAAGTAATAAGGACAAAAAAAAATGGATTATTAAATTAGTCGATACGAAATACACGCTAATTGAAAGATTTGAATTTATTTCGCAATCTAACCCAACTAATTATTCCTCGTCATAGATACGACACGATAAGTCCTTCTTCACCTGCTGGATAAATAAGATAAACGTTAATCTTCAAAGCTGTAGACGAATTCAAATTTATCTCTGACACTTTTTGTAAATTAAGAAAGAGAGAGAGAGAGAGAGAGAGAGAGAGATTAAGAGTGAGAGTGAGAAGAAAGAAAAAAAAAGAAAAAGAACGAAAATAATAATTAATTCTCTTTTATTATAATCATTTTCTCCCTTACTCGTAAATAAGAAAAAGAAAAACAATTTACTCTACTCGTTTGACGAAGTCGTAGCATATGGTGTCTCTAATAAAAATAAAAAATAAAATATTCTAATTAATATTTAATCGTCTGACTGGAATTTAATTAATTCGCACGTGTGTGCTTTAGTCGATTATTGAAATTTTAACACAACTTATAAAATTTATATACGCCTGTATTTCTTTCTCCTTTTCTTTTTTTCTTCTTTTTTTTTTTCGGACAAATTCGCATGATTAAAATATTACGCGAACGAAATTACATAAACGAGAGGACGAAATATACGAGAGCAAGGATCTTACGTGAAATTTATATCCTCGTAACAACGATCAACGAATACATTATATAGCAGGCCATCGAATAATGTGATTGCTATGTGGACTACGTAAGTAGTTTACTTGATAAAGTTCTATTTCGTCATAGTTTTCTATCCCTATTATTCTATCGTTCTTTACATTCAAATTTTAATCGTCTTATCGACGATTACATTTTAATATATTATCATCCAAATATATAAATTAAAGGTTATTCTATTATATTTTTATACTTGAATATATATATATAAGAAATTACTCGACAAAATAAATAAATGAGAAAGCTTTGAAAATTATGTTTCTAATGATTTACATGCTTATCCAATGCCAAGTGAATAATAGTTACAATTAGCGTACTTGAAAACGACCCACTTAATTGCCATTTTGGGTTTTTCTTTTTTGCAATAATTTGAGCAAAGAAAAAATGAAACGTTTCTAGAAAGAGAAAATGTATAACGAAATACGAATACTGGGAAAAGGATCATCGCAGGTTGTTCACCTTTTTTTTTTTGAAATGTTGCAATGAATATATCTATGGTGAGAATATTAATCTAAACGAACCGAAAAGTTTCGATTCAATCATTCAATTTAGATTTATTTCACGCGTTTAACATTTACGAAAGCTTACTACCGAGGAACTAGAATATCATTTGGCAATTCTTAACTTAACAGCAAACTATATATTTCTAATAATAAATAAATGTATACTACAAGTTCGCGTATAAACATTCTAACATCTACAAAAATAACCAACCAAAATCTACGATAAATAATTGCGCGGAATCGTTGAAAAAAAAAAAAAAAACAAAAAAAAAGAAAGAAAGAAAAAAATGAAACCTTGAAATTCGTTTTCTCTCCAAATAGAAATTTATTCACTAACCTGTTATCTCTGAATAGACACTTGAGTTCCTCAAGAAAATTCTTTCGCATCCGTCTCTAACGCTATCCTCGTCTACGAAAAGTAGCATTCGTTCGTCCAATAAAATCGTAAGGATGCATATCGTATTTTCCAATCACGATCACGATTCTTCGAAGTTGAGGAGCAAGAAGAAAGATCCTCGAAGGTGAATACAAATAACGAAGAGGTGTACTGTCCTCGACGAATTCATCGATGATAATTATGATGAATATAATGATGATAATGATGATAATGATGATGATGACGATGACGATGACGATGACCAAGTTGACGGTGGTGATGACGATGACGATGTTGGTAGGTTAAAGACGTTGTAAATTATTTAGCTTTTTAATCTTCGTTAAACTCTCTTTTCCGTGAGAAAGTTCACATGTACGATGGACAATGACGACAATGACGATAATGACGACAATGACGACGACGACATGTACGGTCAGTCACGATCAGAAAACTTTCCTGCGTCTCTCCTTTCCCATTCCGAGAGTACGACGACCACGAGGACGAAAAAGAAGACGAATACTACAGAGAATTTACTCGTGACAAGCATCTCACCCACTCTCTCTCTCTCTTGGCCTTCCTTTGGATCCTTAAAGAAGAAAAAAAGCAAACTGGAGGCATTGAAGATGCGTATCCATCAGAAAGTAGAAAGAAAGAAATACGGGGGAAAATAAGAAGGGGAAAAAAGGGAAGGGGAAGAATAAGAAAAAAAAAAAAAAAAAAAAGCAAAATTCTCTAACGAAATTTCTAAGAAATCGTTCGAATAAAAAAAAAAGATGTTGGAAATTGATTTATTTTCTTCAATGGTTGACCTAACCGTGATTTTTCTATGCAACGAAACATATGCACCGATAATGAATATAACGTCTCGAAGGATTTTCAAATAAAAGTTCACGCTAACCAAGGATGATTTCTAACTGGCACACAATATGGGACTCTACGGGAAAAGGGAAGGTACAAGAAGATTAAGAGAATATTATGATTAAGTACAATGAATTTCATCGTAGAAAAGAAACGGATGAAAGAAAACGGAAGATAGATGCATAATAAAATTCCCTTTTTTCTTTATTGTTGTTATTCCACAAAAATATCTTTGGGAAGTTTTTCGTCCGGGGAAACATTTAAAAGCACAACTCAAATATTTTCCAATAAGTTTCTAACTTTCCTCTCTCTCTCTCTCTTTTTTTTTTTGACATATTATATATAAATTTAATAGTAGAATACGCGACGCGTAAAACGTTCGAGTTCCACGTATCTCATAATATATATATATATATACACACACACAAATAACTCAGAAAGACAGGAACAACGCATACGTAGCTTCGATCTCATCGTCGTACTTTCGATGGAAATTTCCGGCTGCCAGAGACAGTGTTTGAGCACTCTGCACGAGTTTCGTTCCTCTCCATCTATCTATCTATCTATATCTATATAGTTAGATATATAGATATATATATATATATATTACACACATCGGCGAAATCGACGAATTCTAGGATCCCAGGCTCTGTCTAACTTCATCTCTCTCTACCTAAGTCGGTCCACCTCCTCCCGCTGAATCTAATTATCTCATTTATTTATTCTCAGAAATTTTTCTTACAAAATCAACATGTTTCTTTAACTTCAACATTAAATATACAATAGCTATTTCAGTCTAACTTATTCATTTTTAATCTATCTATATTTTATTCGTATCTCATGGTAATTAATTCAACGTGTGTTCTTGAATTTCTATGACTACCATTATTTAACTTATACATTTCTATATGAATTCAAAATGTTTATTTAAACATCGAGTCTAAGATATTATTATTATCAATATTCATTTATCTCTAATGGTAACAAATGCAATTTGTTTTCTATTTGAATTTCTATTGAAAATATTAAATATATCGATTTGACATATATTTTAATCTACTTTATATTTATTTTTATTATATTTCTCATGAAAACACTAATGCAATGTGTATTTTATTCTTTTTTTTTTTAGAATTTGTATCTAATCGTAAGATATTAATATCAAATCGTTAGTAATCTACAATCTTTTATCTACAATTCTATCTTTCCCTTTCTTTTCTCCTTCACCCACGTCATCGTTCGTTCGTATGTTGGATCTGTCAGTGTGTTGTCTACGTAGATACTTTTTGCCATGTAATCGAGAGAGATTATACTGCTGGGATTCGATCGACGGAACGGAGCCTGGCACGAGTAAAAGTGTGTGGCCACGACGACGACGCCGACGCCGACGACGACGACGACGACGAACGGGAACACGCGACACACACCAAAATGTTGCCTGGAATGACAATGCAAAAGAAAGAGAGAGAGAGAGAGATAGACTACGCGACGTATAACGTACTGTATTATTACATCTTAAGAAACCGTTCGTTCTTTCCTTCGTTGCAAAGTCGGGGCACGAGGTAGTCACGTACGTCATCGAGAAAAAGAGAGAAATAATCATTTTGCGACTTGTTTACGTTTTACTAATACACACATATATAGAGCAAGAGAGACATATTACCGGCATATATGAAAGAGAGACAGAAAGAGAGAAAAAGAAAGAAAAAGAGAGAGATATATATATATTAAAGTAGAGAAAGAGAAAGAAAGAAAGAGAAAGATCGTAGCGAATTTTTTTTCACGAGAGTACTGTGTTTTTCCTGGAGTGACGTTTAGAGAAACCGCGAGACAGAGAGAAAGAGAGAGAGAGAGAGATAGAGAGGTTAGGTTCTTTCTATGGCCTCTATCACACAAGAAATAAAGATAGATAGATAAATAGGAGAAGGATAAAAAAGATTGAGAGAGAGAGAGAGAGGAGGGGGTAACCGGGAAATGATAAAACGAATAGAAAGGGTTAGGAAACAAATAAATACAGGTAGAGAAAAAGGTATATTAAATAAAAGAGGATTAAATAAAAGAAAAGTAGACTTACCTATCTGCTTTTTGGCCAGGGTCTCTCGTTCAGGGACGGGCCCGAGGATCTTGTAGCCGCATGTTCCGTTTATTCCCGGCTCCTCGTTTTTCGCGTTCCGGTTTCTCTTTGGGCTCTCGTTAGCGACACACAGCCATCTTGCGTACCGCCTGGTGGCCTGGCTCGGTGCCTTCGGTGCGGTGGCCCCAGAGCGTGCGATAGAACGACGAACAAACGAGACAGAGAGAGAGAGAGAGAGGAGACGGGGAGAAAGAGAGAGAGAGAGAGAGAGAGACAGCAGACAGATAGAGAGAGAAAGAGAGAAAGAGAGGAAAAGAGAGAGAGAGAGAGAGAGAGGACAACGGGTGGATGTGGCTGTCTGCGGTGAGAGAGGAGGAAGAAGAGAAGATAGGCACTGTATCAGTGTATTAGTGTGTTGGTGAGGAATATTATCTCTCTCTTTTTAACCAAAGGTAGTGTAGAGACGCGGAACACAAGTAACGCGCCTGCCCGGCTGCCCCTATATGTGATACACCAAAGAGAGAGAGAGAGAGAGAGAGAGAGAAAGGGGGAGAGAGATGGTTGACGCGCACACACAACGAAAAATACGTGTCCAAGACTTTTCTGACGCACGCTTCGCCGCCACACGCAATAACAGCACACGGAACACAACACCACTAGCCTTCTTCTTCTTCTTCTTCTTTTCCTCTTGCTAAAACTTCTGCTGCTGTTGTGTTACGGATGTAATATTGGTTAACTGCTTTTCTTCTTGATTATTCTCTTTTTGACAGCACGACACTCAATGCCACGTACGATAAACAACGCACACTGACATATAACCCCCCCTTTAACTATTTATTGTCAGTATATATTATTTGTATCAACTATTATTATTTCCACTGCTATTAAAAATGTTAATAGAATAGCATTGGAATTGCCAACGTTATGCTTGCTGCACCACACAGTTTCTCTTATTCTTATATTTATTCTTTTTCTTCTTCTTCTTCTCTGTGTCACCGACCACTACCAACACGTTCTTCCTCTTCTTCTTTTTCTTCCTCCTCGTCCCTGTTATTAGTCTGTTTCTCTCTCTCGTCTTCGTTTTCCTCTTCTTCTTCTTCTTCTTCTTCTTCTTCCTCCTCCTCGACCGCCACCTTCGTCACCACCTCTTCTCTCGTCCTCACACTTTTCGCCACTTTCTCGCACAACACTTTACCGTTCTTCTCACGTTCATAATACCAACTCCTAACCTCTCTTTTCGAGAATAAGTTTTCTACTAGAGAGAAAGAGGAGACGATTTCTCCTTCTTCTTAACACACATACGCGTACATTATACACACGCAGTCGCACACGCTATCGTCCTTGTTAATTTATTAACAAACTAATATCCAAAATGATTCTATTCCTGTAAGTAATGTGATTCGACATAAAACATACCCTTGTTACTTTATGTTTTTCTTTCCACTTCTGTAAGCGGCATACGTTTCACTTATTTATTTCATTTCATTTGATTATTAATTGATATCGTTTATATATATATATATATATATTCTTGCTATACGTTAGTTACAATTATCGTTGTTTATTCAATTAATTCTTATCCTCCTTCTTTCTTTCTTCTTCTTCTTCTTTCCTTCCTTCTTTCCTTCTCATTCTTCTTTTCTTCCCTTCGTTTTCTTACCACTCGCGAACGCGATATTAACCGGGAGATCGCTCGGCGTAGACTGCCGAGTATTGCGCGACATTCGGCAGCCTTCGCTAACGTTCGTCGTTAATCGGCTCTGCAAAACCGTCTGCGTGCTCACCACTCATCAATTTATCAGGTACGTATCTATCGCAAATGTCTCCGATATTCGTACTTTTTTATTTTTCTTTTCTTTACGTTTTTTCATTTTTCTTTTTTTATACCTGAATGAATGATCAAATAGAAACTTAATTATGCGAAAGAAAAAGGACGACTTTCACGTCAAGACGTCCTGTTAAGCTTT